CCTCCCCATCCCATCTCTTCCTCCTCCTCCTGTCTCCTCCCCCTCCTCTGTCTCCTCCCCTCCTCTCACAGGCTGGCCTGGAACTTGCAGCAATCCTGCCTCAGCTGCCCAAGTGCTGGGATTAAAGGTGTGTGCCCCCATGCCCAACCAGAAATCATAATGCTAAGACCATGCAACATCAAAAATATTTTTACTACTTTTGTGAACCAACAATGCAGAACACAGAAAGAGGACTGGGACCCAAAGACTTGTTACACCTGGATTGCTCACCCAAACGAGAAGAGTAAAAGGATTTAACTGAGTGTAAATCCTCTTAGGGAAAAGGTCTGCCTGGCTTGTACTATGCTTGCCTAGCATGTGCAAGGATCTGGGTTTGGTCTCTAATGTGGCAAAGAGTGGCAGGGCAGAGGGAAGGCAGGCAGACAGGAGGGAGAAAGGGAGTGAGGTGTTATGGTTTGTGTCTAGATGTTCCCCCCAAGTCCTCATGTGGTCACGGGGGGAGTGACTTTTCAGTGGCAGCTGCCTCTAGAGTCCGCGACTCGTTCACTGTCTAGTGCTGGGACTGTGTGAGTGCCGCACGTGCCCAAGGACTGATTTCGCTTGTACACAATATAAAGGAGGGAAAGAGGCCTGCTCCTGCCTTTTGCCCTTTGAGCTCGTGCAGCTTTTGCTGGCTTCAATGCCATGAACTGTTGCCCCTCTGCCATGTGCCACCCTGCTTCGGAGCCAGCTGGGTTTTTTTAAAATTATTTATTTATTTATTTATTGTGTGTGTGTGTGTGTGTGTGTGTGTGTGTGACCAGCTCAGCCCACCAGGGGGTGGGCTGGCTGGCATGTGGTGCTGGGGGATTGAACCACGGTCCCTGTGCTTTGCTTAGCTTAACTTGTTCTAAGTAGGTGCTTTAGACCACTGAGCCATCTCACCAGCCCAGCCAGCTGGTTTTGGACTGGACCCTCCACAAAGTGTGAGCTGAATAAACTTTTCCTCCTTTCGCTTTGGGTGTTGGGTACTTTGTCTCAGCAATGAGAGAAAAATAACTAAGAATTTGGTACCAAGAGTGGGGTCATCGCTATGACTTTATCTGGCCATGTTGTTCAATAACCTTTGGGGTTGGCTTGTGGAAAGAGTTTGAAAAGGCTCAGAGATGTCACCTGTGAGAGAACAGAGCTGGAACACCTTGGGCTGTTCTGTACGGGAGATTCTGGTCAGAGCTCAGAAGACCAGAAGGCTGATAAAAGTCCTGTGGGTAAAGACCAGGCTCAGAAGGTTTCTGCTGGGAAGGCCTGCGCTGGCCGCTGGACTCCGTACGACGTGTGCTAGGGCTTGGCAGAAAGTCTGTCCGCATTTTGCTCACGTCAGAGACGGGCTGAGACTGAGATTAAGGGCGGCAGACTAACTGATCTTGCAGAAGAAATTTCAGGGCAGTCTAATGGTGAGGCTCTGGCATGGCTACTGTTGGGGTTCTTCAGTCACTTTTATGTTGAGAATGAAGCGCAGAAGAGTCCAGCTGAACTTAACACATTCTGAGTTTGGCCAGAAAGGAAGCTCCAGTAGAGCTGTGGGCTGCATAGACAGAGCAGAGATCTGGACTGCTGTGAAGGAATGGAAGAACAGAAAGATGGCCTGAGAGCATCACATGCAGCAGCAGGTTTCCACACTGTGCAGCATCAGAATTGCAAAGGTGAGAGAAGAAAAGCCCCAGAACACCGGGTTCCAGAATGGCAGCAGCCTACAGAATTTGTTCCTCTGAATTAGGTTCAGAGTGCTCAGGGATCCAGGCACCCAACCCCTACAGCTGAGAGAGGGAGAAAAGCCTGGCTGCTGCTCCAGCTGGCAGCAGACCCTGGCATCATCCATGTGGCAGTGGTTTTAGGTGCATGCAGAATGCAAGAATCCTGGGGTTCAAAAGACTTCCTCCCAGATTTCAAAAGAGGGCCTGGGAGGCCAGCAGCACAGGGCACCCTGAGAGGCCAGTGTGTGAAACTGTGGGAAGCCAAAGGTGCAGTGGAGACTCCAGAAGTTTGGAGAAAGCAGGAACGTGGATCCTCTACGGAAACCTACAAGGAGGGAGCAGAACAGGCCCAAGAGAGAAGCCATGGGAATGCCAGAATACCACAGGAAGTGCCATATGGGCGGAGCCACACAAGCCCTTTAGAGCTCATAATTTGCCATCGATTGCTTCAGATGCTGGACATGGAACTATAGGACTTAATGTTTGCTGGATTTTGCTTTTTTTTTTTTGAACCAGGTATTGAACTCAGGACCTTGCACTTGCCAGACAATTCCACTGAGCTATCTCCCTGGCCCACCCTGCTGGAGTTTGGACTTGCTTTGGTCCCAGTCCTTTGCATCGCCATCTGTAACTTTTAGTATGGAAATGTTTATCTTGTGCCAGTAAATGTTGGAAGTATTTAACTTTTTGTTTTTACAGGGGCTCACAGCTAATCTTGGATCTTGGAGGAGACTTGGGACTTGGGCTTTTCGGCAATGCTGAAACTGTTAGGACTTCAGCAACTCTCAGAGATGGACCATATGCCTTCTGCACAAAGGGCTGTGCATGAGTCTTTGGGGGCTCAGGGGCGCAATGTTAGTGTTTGTGTCTGGATAGCCCCTCAAAGCCTCGAGTAATCAAGAGGAGGGGTGTGGGTTTCTCAGAGGTGGCTGAATCTAGACATACGATTGGTTCACTGTCTGGTGTGGGGACTGGAGATGAGTACCACACCTGCCCTGGGACAGCTGCTGCCTGTCTACAACATAAAGGAGGAGCAAGGCCTGCTCCTCCCTTCTGCTCCTCGGCTTGCACCATCCTCTGCCGCCATGCACTGTGGCCCCTCTGCCACAATGCCGCCCTGCCTTGGAGCCAGCTGATTATGGACTGAAACCCACATAAGCTGTGAGCTGAATAAACCTTTCCCACTTTAACTTTGGGTGTTGTGTATTTTGCCTCAGCAAACAGAAAAAAGTAACTAAGACAAGAGAGATCTTTATTTAGTAAAATGCACAATTCATAAACTACATGTTGCTCCTTTTCTTAAATTTATTTTTAAAATGTTTTTGTCTTTTTTTTAAGACAGGGTTTTGCTATGCAGTTTAGGTTGGCCTTGAATTCACTTTTCAGCTCATGCTGGCCTCAAACTCATCTTTCTGCCTCAGCCTCCGAGTGCTGGAATCACAAGCACGGGCCTCCGCGCCAGCATGGTACTCCTCCTATTTACCTAATTCATCCTCCTCATGAGCGCACCGCTCTTCAGGTCCCTCCTTAACGGAAGGGCAAATCTGCAGAGACTTCCTATGGCATCCTTCTGGCATCAATCCCTTAGTGATAAGCATGACTGGCGCTTATGTTCCAATGCCAAATTAAAAAAAAAAAAAAAAGAATTTGGGCTAATTCTCAAAATAAAACAATATTATTTCAACAAATGCCCTGATATAAAAGGCTGCCTTTCCCTCTAGCAACACAGGTTCATATTCACTGTCTGGTCTAAGCTTTCAGTGAAGTGTATTAAGTCAAACACTAAACACATATGTCACATTTTTTTTTTTTTTAAATGGGGAATTGAATTCAGGACCTTGCACTTGCCAGGCAGGCATTGTGCCACTGAGCTATATCCCCAGCCCTACTAAGCAGGTGTAAGTGAGCACACTTAAAAGTATTCTACTCCCCTCTTCTTTTCGCTTCTTCTTCTCTCTCTCTCCTCCTCCCTCTCTCCTCTCCGCTCCCCTCCCCTCCCCTCCCCCCTCTCTCTTTCTCTCTCTCTCTCTCTAGTTCAGGCTGGCACTGAGCTCTCGATGTGGCCTAGGCTGGTCTCCAACTCATGGTGATCTTCGTGTTTCACCCTCCTGAGTGCCAGGATTACAGGTGTGCGGCACCAAGCCTGACTATGTTTCTTCTTCTTCATCCTTTTTTTTTTTTTTTTTTGTGGTGCTGGGATCACCCCTGGCCCTTATGCATGCAAGGTAAGATCTCTACCACTGAGCCACCTCCCAAGCCCTTACTTTTCGCTTTAAATCAACTTATCTTTTTGTCATTAAGAGAAGGGTTTTAAAACACAGACTGTTGATCAATGCAAAGAATAAGGAGTTAAAAGCTAGAAGTTTTCTAATAAAGCAAATAGGTCATTACAATAATTGGGCTTGAAACATACACTTAAACTTCCGTTCTTCCTCCTTTCATAACGAAACACAAACACGTACATACAAAGTCAGCCCTACCATTTAACATGTGCAAAACTGCTTGTCATTTATTTCAGTTTGAACTTTGGTTCAGTATTTGTTTAGCCTACATGAGTCACATTCCAGAAGCTATACAAATGATTACAGACATAATAATGACGGTAGTTAAAATCCTACTGGTGCAAAAAGCAAGCAAACACCAAAAGCAAAACACAAGAATTAAACAAAGGCAGAGTGAAGTTCTGGTCAAGGAGCTGTGGCTCACAGGCCAGAGAAGCTCCCTGTAAACACTGTGACGAGGACATTTAAAGATAACGATTCAGATGGCCACAAAGACAGTTTTTTTAACATCACCATAGCAGTGCATTTATTTTATCTCTAGAGCTCAGAAACCACTCAGTATGTGTCTAACAGTCTGCATATTTTCTGCTAGAGAAAATTAGTGAGACACATTAATTACAAATACTGTAATATAAAAATCCCAGTTCTTTACAAAAATTATATATTAAAATATTCTATACACTTTAAATTAGTAACTGGAGCATGCATACATATCAATTCTGCACATCGAGCCCCGTCTTCGCCGGGGCTATGGTACATACAGTTGGACGACGCAGCTACTCAGTCAACCTACACCGGCCTTCGGTTATGCGGTACGAATTACAGATCCGGGCCGAGCAGCTACTACAGTTCTGGTCTGCAATAGCTTTTCTGCAATTATTGCTCCGTGTATATTTATTCCAGATTTGAATAGGCGGTGGAACCATGAAGTTCCTAAAGGTTTTAAACAAGTTACCTACAGCAGAGTGTTTATAACTCTTACCTAATTTTTAAGGTTGTAAGGAACCTGAGTAAGCTGTCTAATGCTTATAATTCTATTATAAAAAAGTTTATACGATTTTGAGGTAAAAATAATGCAAAAATAAAACATCTACAGCATTTACAAAATCTTACAAATGTTTAAAACACTATTCCAAACTTAGGTCTTATTAAGGTGCTTCTTTCTGCAGTAAGAGGACATATACTTTAATTCTAAATTTTTAAATCATGAAGGTTTTAATTTCATTAAAAGGAGTTAGGGCCAATAAGCACATGAAAAGGGATATAGTCTGCCAAAAGAGACCTGAAAGGTGGGCCCCTTGTCGCTTAAGGAGGAGCTTAAGGGCCACATATAGTGTGTGCTTTAGCCAAAAATACCCTCAAGTATATCGGGCTGGGTAATTGAGACTACCCTTTGTTCTTTTTGTGTCTTGCCATGATTCTGGAAAAGTAATCAACATTCAAAGCAGAGTCTCTAAGCTTGCCCTTCTCTGTCTTGGTGAAGCTCTGTGCTACAAGTGAATGAAGAAAGGACTCCGATGTCCACTGAAATCAGCCTAACAAATACTATCCAACAAAAGACAGCTGGAAAGCCACCACTCACGCAGAGCGGTCGGAGGGAGCACTTGGACGCAGGGCGCCTGCAGCGCAGGGGACGGTACTTTCTCAGACAGGAAAATGAACAGCAGCCAGCTGCTAGGAAGACTGAGCTACGCAGCTGTAGAAAGGTGTCAGGGTGATAAACCTTCTAGCTTTATCTTGGTTTTATTGTTTTTCTTTGTAAAACAGCTATACATATAAGGAAGACTCCATATACTAATTTTCAGAGTCCTTGCTTCTTTTCTATTTTTATTTGGATCTACAGTTGAGCACATACATTTTAAGAACAACTTACAAACTCAAATTTATAACTGCTGGAAATACAGTCGGAGAACATTTTTTAAATGACAAATCTTCATAACCAGTTGCTAATAAATAAGTGCCATCACAATAGGGTCAGTAAAAAAAAACTCAATTCAATTCAATTCAAAGGCGCTTTCTTATTGTTACCTTGAAGCCATCGCACTTGTGTCGCCGGTCCATACCCCTTCTCGTTCTTGGCCGAGATGCGGAACACGATGGCAGGCCTGGATGTGTAATCGATGTGCGCGTTGGCGAGCTGCCCCGCGGTCACTGTGCACGAAGTCTTAAGACCACAGTAGATTCTCATGAACACGAGCTGGCTCGGGTTGTCCTGTATCTGCGCTGTGCGGATAGCCAGGTAGGCGGAGTACTCCAAAATATTTCCGGAGGGGGAGGTTGGAGGTTCCCAGGAAAGGTGGATGCCTTCAGCGTTCTAGAAAAGGGAAAGCACATGAAGGTTCTGTTTTCTCTATAAGCATGCACGTTAAATCTATCTTTAAGATACACAGTGCTTCTTTTTCTTAAAGAAACTGTGTAAGACGCTAGATGCTTGATTTTATGAAAACCTAAGGTGGATTTACAGCGCTTAACCTGTGCACACTTTTCCTTTTTTTCTGTCTTTTTTTTTTTTAAGACAGGGTCTCACTGTGTAGCCCGGGCTGGCCTTGAGCTCACGGTGTAGCCCAGGCTGGCCTCCAACTCACGGTGATCTGCCTGCTTCAGCTAGCTGAGTGCTGGACTGCAGGTGTGCACCTCGCCCGGCACATGCTGTTTTTCCCCATCACAGTGAGGCTTAAGTGTCTGCCTGCACAGCCCAGGAAAGGGGTTTTGCTTCATTGAACGCAGGCCTTTTCTTCCCGAAGAAGGGCAGGACTTAGATAAAATGTAATCTAATGTTATATATTCTATTAAAATTCACCAAGATGAACTTCTGTTTTATACCACAAGAACAAAGCCAAATGACTCCCCTGCCTTTCTGTGATTTGAACGCTGAAATTCTGCTTCAAGTTTAGTACTTAAAAATACCATGAGTAATTCTCAAACAATATTTAATCCTCCTCTTTCAGGTAATCTCATTTCATCAGATGCTAACAAGAATTTCTAAACATAAGGCTTCATGTAGGAAGTTTCACATAATTTGCATCATCAGGTCTCACGTGGACCTCTCACCTTTGAAATTCTGACAGCAGAAGGAGCTCCAGGAAAACCGGGAATACAAGTTTTAAATTCACTAACTTTGCTGAAAGGGCTTATTCCACAACCATTGATTGCAGCAACCCTGAATCTGTACGCTGTGCCTGGAACAAGATCTTGTTTCTTAAGTAAACTGTAGTCAGGAACATCTGCATTTTCTACCTAAAATGTAACATGCAAAAGTCAAGCAAGAAGAACAGTTCATTTATTATTTAATTTTTAATATGATTTAATTTTCATTCAATAAAACTTTTTTCAACAAAACTTTTAAAGAATAAATTATATTTTAAAGTTGCAGCTCGCATTTATTTATTTCTGTCTCACACATGAAGAATAAACCTTCCAAAGTGGAAGCAATTACATCCACGATCAGTGATGCATCCCGAAGGAAAAGCGCCCCTCCCAGCTGAGACCCACTGATCATGAGAAGCCATACAGGGGCACTCTGCCCGTGAAAGGTAGGCGAGCAAAAAATAAACACGCCCCTCTGGACGAATGAACCACTGCCCCTTTCCAGGTGAACTTGGCTTGGAGCAGAAATCTCAGAGCTACTGTGAATAAGGGCTGCCAAGGACAGTGGCCTGAGACAGACAAGCAAGCCTCGCAGCCAGGCGCGGGGTGCCCTGTGAGCCCAGCACTCGGGAGAGGCAGGGGATCACCGGGAGCCTGAGACAAGCCTGGGCTGCAAAGTAAGCTCCAGGCCAGCCCGACCTGCACAGTGAGACCCTGTTTCTAAGTAAGTAATAAGTAAGTAAATTAATTAATTAATTAAATCAAGACTGGCAGAAAAGAAGCCACTTTCAAGTGCTACAGAGCTGAATAGATGTCACTTTGATAATTAGACACACTCTAGATTGGAAGATCACCGTGTTCACAACTCTCAATTTTTCCATATTCTCCCCTAACTCCTACAGACCACTGAGAGACAGAAGTGTCAGTGTATCATCTTACTGCAGGGGCGCAAGGTCACCTCATTATAGGTGAGGAACCGGAGTCTCGGAGAGACTGAGAAAGTGACTTGTCCCATTCACCCTGCTGGGTGCGGGACGCAGTGACTGAAACCCCAGGTTAAAGGCTCTCCATTTTATGCTCTTTCTTTGCTATACGACAGTCCAGTAGCTCACAGGCCCTTGCATGTGCATATAGCTTTATATATAACATCCCAACTTCAGCCAGAAATTTTATCAGGCACAATACTACCAGATAATTAATGAGAACTTCTTTTTTGTCAAGAACTGGAAAAACTCAATTTGGAAAAGAGGGACACCAGATGTGGTATTAGATGAATGCAAATATATAACAGGTTGGGTGCTGTGATCCGGAATGTTGGGACAAGGCATGTTTTGGAGTTACAATTTTTGTCAGGTTTGGAACACAGCATACACATAATGAGGTATCTTGTGCACGGGACCCAAGTCTGAATACAAAATCATTTGCTTCAGGTGCACCTTACTCACCTGGCCTGGAGGGAAGCTGACACTACATTCCAAGGTCCTGGGGACTGCACCAGGTCCTCCACACTAAGCTATGTCCCCAGCCTTCTTTGATTTTTTTGAGACAGGGTCTCACTACCACCAAGTTGCCCAGATGGAGCCCACACTTCTGAACCTCCTGCCTTAGCCCCAGAGTGCTGGGGTTACAGCTGTGCAGTGCCTGGCCGCCTGCCTGGGGCTCGTCACCTGAGCACGTACGCATTTCCAGCTGCGGCATCACGCTGACACCAAAAAGTCTGTCAGTTTTGGAGCTCCTGTTATTTCCTCTCTTTGGAAGGATCTAGAGAATCAAAATGAGTAGCTATTTCCTTACAATTCCCTTCTGGAAATTCTGCATGTATGAAAAGCACCAGTTCCGCACACTTTAGAGTTGTTCTCCAATTCGTAATTCTTAGGGGCTTCGTGTTCCACACAATGTCTCCTTAAGGAGCTTCAGAATCAAGGGAAAATGAATAGCACATAGAGGCTTCTAAATTTTTAAAATTATAAAATCAGGAATAAGGCTTCTCAGTAAAAAACAATTCTTTTAACACACCAAGTAACAAAATTAAGAACATTTTAAAAAACTACTCATTTGAACTAGTCAGAGTAGATCTTTATGACATGAAACCAGCTCAGTGACTATAAGATTTCTTAAAATGACATGCCTGTGACATACTGTAGTCTATAAAAAGAACCTAATAAACAACGCCAGACACTTGGAACCACTCGGAACTCTGGATCTCAGGCTGCGCTTGAGCCTGGTCACCTTCACCCCATGACCAAAGCCACCTCGCCCAGCCACACCCCTTCATGGTTACCTTGGAAGCCCCCTGCTTTCCCTTCGGCAGCAAGTAGAACTGGTTTACCAATGCAGTGTTGTTTTTAAAGATCCCCACGTCACACCACTGTCGTTCTCCTGCTTTCACTGTGGCCACTGGAATGGACGGTGTCTCTTTCTAATTTTAGAGAAAGAAACACTTATGAAGCCTCTTCTCGAGCACTTCACAGTTTCAAGCCTCTACTAAACCCATGCAGTGATCTACGAGTAGGTGTGCAGGTAAAGGTCACGACACTGACAGCTCGTCAGTAAATCAAGTCTTCACAGCTTAGGTCAACTGACAGTGCAGGGGAACCAATCAAACCCGGGGGCAGCGGGGTGACAGGCGCTGTCCAGCCAGGCTCTGAACTCTCACTGTCGGCCAGGCCGGGCTCAGCTGCATTCCCATCAGGGACAGGCCAGAATACCAGCTGCGACAGGACATTTTCATTCAGACCTCGGAAATCACAACCCCTTTAGGGCAATGTGACAACTTCTCCAAAAGGAGTACATCAAGAAAAATTCATTCCAAGCTGGTTTTTGTCTTGATTCAAAAACAACTAGCAGAAATTCAGTGACCTTTGCACTTGAAATACCTGTGATTCTCCAAACCTAAAAGGAGAAAAAAATGTTCAAGACTAAAATGCAATTTGCATATACTTTAGTATATACTACTGAGGACTCCATTAAACAGGTTTACATTTCTACCTTGCTTTTAAAAACAAATAAGCTGGGGCCAGGGAGATGGCTCAGTAGAATAAGCGCTTCCCTGGCAAGTGCAAGGGCCTGAGTTCAATCCCCAGTTCGCAAAAAAAAAAAAAATCAAACAAACAAAGAAACAAACAAAAAACCAACAACAAATAAGCTTCCTCTACCTTAAGCTACTGTAGTGATAAGCAAATTATACTTATCCCTGGAACTAACCTTTTAAGCCATCTTCTTATAAATGAGACACTGTTTCCAGAAGCTCAAAACAAATGTGCACTTCAGTTACTTATTTCTGTCTTAAATATATAACAGCAGAGGTACATTCTTATCATTCACATTTTTTGTTATTTAGGCTATCACAAATGACAAAGTGAACGAACGAGAAAAATCTTTGAAAAAAGGAACGTTTAAACTTGGCTTCAGTTTTTAAGTTGTAAAAATTTTCAACAACTTTTATAAAACAACTGGCTCCAACTGAAATAACGAATACAATTCTGGCTGATGCACTACAAAGCAGATTCAGAGAAGAAGTTCATTTTAGTCCTCCTTCCCTGAGAAGAGTCGGGAAGACTCAACGTGCCAGAGAGGAAAGGCAGGTAAAGATTACTAAGGATCAAAATACAAAAAGTTGCACGGAAATTAAGACAGCACTTCAGGATATAAAAGGCAAACAGTAGGTCAAATAAAAACTCTTGCTCACTGCAACAAATATGAAATGACTGATGAAAAAAATCCTCTGAAATATACACATATGCATGTATCATTTTTATTCTGTATTTCTCCAGTCAAGACAATCCTGGTGTACCGACCAGACACCTTCCAAGCAGGGGGAGCCTGGTGCCTTGTAGGCCACCGTGCTGGCCTTCCACAAGGCCACGCAACGTCTGGGCTCACTGCGCTCGTCCGCTGTGCTCCCTAACACATCCTATCTCACATGCTGTTCACACACACACACACACACACACACACACACACACACACGCGCACGCATTTCTGGCCATAAGAGCACTGTATCTCATTATGGGAAAAGCGAGACAGAAGCCACATCCATCTGTGGCCCCACCGCCCAGGGAGCTCTGCAGCACCCCACTCTGAGGAGGAGCATATGTGCGTGGGCATGCACACGGCCGTGCTCCTGTTACATGTAATTTTAACCAAAATTGGGAGCACGGCACAAGGATTATTTTATCAAGCTCTCTCCTCTACATACTATATTATGAATATTTTCCTCTTTGACCTTTTATTTCTAAATTTATATCAACCTACTACTAAATGAGCCCTGAGAACTTCCTTACACGTTTACTGAGAAGCTGCTTGGCTCTTGGAAGCACACAGTGATCTGTAATCATGCAACCTCGCCGGGCTGGGCACTTACAGAGAGTGGCATGGCTGTGGCGTGGATCTCCACACGGCTGATCTTAGTGGCAGGTAGAACACATGTTTCATCAACTGAAAGTTAAAGTTAATTCGTTAAAGCTTATAGGGTCACCTAGTTACTGGATATGAGAATATAATTTATAACTTATATACATATATTCAATACTGCTGAACTGTACACTTAAAAATGGCAAAGTGGTCAAGTTCACCTTATATATATTTTACCACAAAAAATAGGAAAATATAGCAGCTGTGGAGGTCACAATAATTAGAAATATAGACCCTTTTACTCAATTCATAAAGTTCATTTTCATAAGAGTTTGATGACATTGTTTACCAAAGAAACACAACTCATCATAAAACAGCAAAATTTACAAAAACAGAATCAATCAGACTGAAAATTATTAATTCATAGCCTAAAACTAAAACTAATCTTTTCTAAGGAAAAACACTGACTCTATTCATGTATTATCTTATTTGCGTGTACTTCCATATACACTTACCTAAACATTTTATGGAGGGGAGCAAACAGTATTTTATTTCTTTCAGACAATATTTTAGATAATGATTTTAACTGACATGCTTTCTCTGCTGACAAGCAATTCAATTCAAACTGAAATACAATTCCCGTCTAAGATAAATAATTCTGATGGCCTGACACACATAAATGGCTTGAAATACAGTACGTGAAACATATCCAAACCTTCGGCTTTGGTACTGAGTGCCGTCAGTGCAGTCTCATCTTTAACAACTGCCCCATTGGTACTGGGCGACTCGGTTTTAATGGTGTGCTGGGCTATCAAAGTTTGAGCACCGGAAACAGTCCCGGACACGGAAGTTTCTGGGATGACTGTTCTCAAGTCCAGGCAGCTACTTAGCACACTTGCATTTGCTGAAGTGTGAGGACCTATGTTTAGAGGAAAGAGATCAACCATTAGTGTAATACTGAGAGACAGTTATAGTGACTTCCTGTTTTTGTGACATGTTTCTTGGTACTTTGGGTTCTAAAATCATAAATGTGACAGAGACATAGTGTTTCGAGGGAGAAGCGCATCACAAGCACTGTGGCTGCCCAACTCCTCGGCTCCTCTCTACTCCCTGACGAGAACTCGTTTCTGACCACTCAGCCTGCCCCCTCTTCCACCTCAGAGCCGACCTCTCTCCTCAGGAGTTTAATCTGACTACCAGAGCTTGTGCTTGCACTCCTTGTCCTGCATCTTGGGACCTCATTCAGACACTCTTGTCTCTTCAGGGCTTTCAGATCACTGCTTCTCAGACCCTGGAGATCACCTAGTTTCTCACGCAAACAAATACAAGTCTTCGTTGCCCCCAAGCCCCAGCAGCTACCCTGGCTCCTTGCTCTAGGGTGCTAATCAAGTGGCTCTGGCAAACATCCATGATTTTTACAGGTAACTCAATTTTTGTTTATCGACCTTTCTTCAGTATAAAACAGTGCTGACCACATTTCCCCTTTGTGAAGCTGTTCTTCTGTGACTTTTAGGCACTGGGCCACATGCTGAAGATGTCCTACCCAGCTCTGCTTGTTCCCATGACAGTGCAGAAGGAAGCAGGTTTGTGCCCACTGCTTCATGTGGTGCAGAGAGAAATCCACACAACCCTAGCTGTAACGCCACTACCCAGAGACAAGTCACCACCTTTTGTCTTTTCCTTGTCCTCTGAGGCCCCCGTCTCATCTCTTCATTCGGTCTCTCCTCTTTGCACAATGCTTTCTTAACTTTGTGCCCTAGCCCTGTGCCCTAGCCATGCTTTGGATATCATTCATGTACCACGCATCCCTCAAGCACCTATGTCCCGGGCACTGCACCAAGTGGTGCTAGCATCCAGCAGTCAAAGCATCGGCCACAGCCTGGCTCTTGCAGAAGGTACACTTGCAGTGTCAATTTCTGAACTGACATTTTCCGACCAAGCACGGCCTCCTAGACCCCGATCTTATGTCCAACTGCCGAGAGGAATCTTCACCTGGATGTCCCACACATGCCTCTAAGGTAGTAAATTCAAAGCTTAGCCTTTTCCAAATTTGCCTTACTCCTGTTTTGATACTGTTTTAATGAAGAATAGCATTATTCATTCCATTTAACTAAAAAGCCTGAGTGTTGGGGTCAGCTCACTTTTATTTCTCACAGCCCACCCGTTGCCAGGTTCCATAAATGTAGCTAAAGTCCCCCTCTGTTCTTTCCCTCTATCTCCCCTGCCTTAGTCTCTGCATCCCAGAGTCCGACCAGAACCCAACAAGTGCTCCAGCCTTTCCCTACTACATTTCTTCTCTGAGGGGAGGTTGGAGAAGCAAAAATGTATTCATTTTACTCCAGGTTATGAAACCTTCTTCAGCAGTCACTCCGACATGCTGGCCGTCCTGACACTGCCAGGCATCTAGGAAGCGCAGACCCTATGGTGCAACCACTCCGGCATTTCCCCTCAGCTTCTTCAAGCCGCCTCCTGAGTGAGGGTGTAGGGTGCGTTTGATTCTGAAATCTCAAAGCTCAGACTTGTTTTCTGAGAATAATTTTTTCGAAAGATACACAGAAATGTTACAAGAAAATTGAAGTCCAGGCCCAAGATGTTCTAAATACAACTAATTCCTTTACATCTAGGTAGTCAATAAAACAAAAGAGCTTTCCTCTCCTGTAAGCATTGTCTTTCTTCTTTTGGTACCAGGAGCTGAGCTCATGACCTCATGCTCTTGCCAGGCAGGCCCTGTGCCGCTTAGTTATATCCTTGGCCCTCTCCTATAAGTAATACAGGGGAGAAATTATCTTGTGTGAGTAGTTTTATCTACCAAAGACTCAAAGAAAAGTGGAAATGAAAAGAATTCATCTTAATAAATCTGAATCATTGAATAGTTAGCTATCTATATAATAGTTTTTAGATAAAAAATAAAGTCGCTTGTTATGTCAGGACTCTATCAGAATGAGACTTACAATTTCAGATAATGAAATCAGAGGTGGTGCTCAAGGAACCCCAAATGGCACCAAGGGTGAGGACTGCTAGCAAGTTCTCAGGACTGAACTATCTTGCTAAGGGTGACCCAGCTAAACAAGTTAACAAGCATCAGTAAATCACTATTATTTACCAAGCTCAGATCTAAGCACTATGGAAAAACATGAACAGAAGACAAAATCCATGCCCAGATAAGTAATTCCATAAAGTTAGAGTTCTATGAACATAAAGGGCAATGGCACTAACCACACTGGCCAACCCCAAACATCACAGCACTCTCCTCAAACTGTACCTCTGTGCCCGACACGGCCACCCCGCTGGGGCTGCTGCCCATAGCAGACCCTAAACAGCAGGTATCTGACTTTAGGGAAAATGGATCAATACCATGTAATATTTACTTCTTCAATAATTTTAACATTTGCCACCAATGTTACAAGAAAGTTTAGCTTTATTTAAACTGTTATCCTTGTACCTTCGTTTTTCCTTAGCACATCCGCCACACAGCTACTATGATTAGAAGCACCAGACGCCAGAGGTGAATGTGACGTGGCTTTCAAATCTGCTGCTTTGAAATCTGCTTTGTTTCTCACTGAAATTCCTTTCGCGGCTGTGCGCTCGGTTTCTGCACTATTTATTGTGTCACTGATCTACAAGACATAAGGCAGTTTATTGTAGCAAGCACTGCTCAATGAGACAGAGAGCCATACAGAGAAAAGGCGAATAATCCACAAGTAACGCTTGGTAAGTAAAAGCAAGAAAAATAGGTTATAAAACGCTTTAAAAATAAGTTTACCAAAATATGAAACACTCAAAATTATATTAACTGGTATAGAATTATTCTTTAGGGTCCACAGTAGTTTTTACGAGAATTTTTTAAAAACATGTATTTTTTAAAAAATTTTATTTATTTGGTACAGTGTCTCACTATGCAGCCTGGACTCAGTGATCCTCCTGTCTCAGCCTCCCCAGCGCTAGGTTTACAGGCATGTATCACTACGCCCAGGTTTGGGGTTCTGGAGCTGGCACAGCATGTAGTACCAGGGATCGAATCCGGGTGTTCGTGCTTGCCAGGCTTGGACCGCCCAGCTATCTCCCCAGCCCCTAAGAGAACTTTTCACTAAGTTTTCATGCTCTAAAGATTGGTTTTGGGGAGGAAAGGCAGGGAAGGTATATGCTGAAGATTTTGTTCTAAGATGAGGTTCTCTACACGCTATCAGGCTGGCCTCAAATTCCTAGGGTCGAATGATTCTCTCACCTCAGCTTTCCCAGTAGCTGGAACTACGGGCCTGGCTCAGCCCTCTTCTCAGTCCTCAGGTGCCCCGCTGAAAATCTGCGTTTCTGGGGGGGAAGCTATCTGTCTATCTGGTTTTGTTACTGCTCTGTCCCCACCTTTACTGTGAAGCCTTGTTGTAACTTCTCCTGCTCAGAGGCTGTCCATCACACCCTGGGACCATCCTCTCTTTGTTGGTGGTGATGGTCTTGTAGGTGCAATGGTAACGACAGCCACAACCACTCTGCGCCCCATGTGATAATGTTGCTTAATGCACTCTTTGTTTAAAAATCAGGCAATCAAACTAGAATTATGTAAGGAAGAAATAAGCCCAAGATTTTTGGTTAAACTTGATAAATTGAATACAAATATTTCAAGAAATTCCTAGAAAGGGGGCCGGGGAGATGGCTCAGTGGAATAACTGCTTCCCTGGCAAGGGCAAGGGTCTGAGTTCAATCCCCAGTTCCAAGAAAGAAAGAAAGAAAGAAAGACAGACAGACAGACAGACAGACAGACTAAAACCGCTTATTTTGGGACTGGGAAATGGCTCAGTGGAATAAGTGCTTCTCTGGTGAGCGCAAGGGCCTGAGTTCAATCCCTGGTTCCCCCAAAAAAAAAAAAGAAAGAAAAAAGAAATTCCCAGAAAAATCCAATTCAAATAATCACAAGGAAAGGAAAACATACAAACTTATAAGGAATAAGCGAGCAGAAGATGGTACTGATGTCAGGCAGGCATGGTTGGTCACTGAGCACATCTAGTGCCAGCACCCGAGGACTGAGAGGAGGGCTGAGCCAGCCCTGCAGCTCCTGGACACAGCCATGTGGTCCCCTTCTGCATCCTAACCCAGTAGAAAAATGGGTGGGAAGCTGGTATGAGAGACCAAGCCGACCAAGCCCAGGCCCTCCTGCACCTGCCACAAGAGAGAGGCCTTTCCCTGCATTCTCTGGACCTCACCCACCCCTCCAGACCCAGTACAGCCCGCCTTGTGAGTAAGAATTTCTGCTGCACCTTGGGCCCACTCCATATCCGACCAACCCCAGGCCCTCCTGTACCTGCCGCTCCAAGCCCAGGCCTGCTGCGTAACAGAGGCCTTTCCCCGCATTCTCCAGACCTCCTCGGCCCGTCCAGAGCCAGCACAGCCCATCCTGTGAGTGAGAACTTCTGCCATGCTCTTAGGAGTCCTGCAGTCCCACCAAAGCACAGCGCTGGTGAGTGTGTGTGAAAGCTTCTGCGCTCCCCCCCCCCCCCCCC